CGCCTATACTGATCTTCCATGAACGCAATGCGTTCAGCGAGCTCCTCGATCGGCATTTCAATATACACGGCGTCTCCTGAAACGATACTACTCATAACAACTGTCACGAGGAAACATAGCAGTAGGAAATGAGTACTTACCAAACAAATATTCTAGGTGATAAGACCCTGCCCAATCCCACAGTTCATTATTCACTGCTCGATAATCACGCCGCTCTTGTCTGATTAATCGGCGGCGTTCCCCCGATATGCATCTGTTGCCACAGCCCAGCGTGGAGATATTTTTTCCCTCGGCCGGAAAGTGGGGATGACGCGAACATGGTGGGGACCATAGCGCTGCGGAGAGCTTCGCGAACGCGCATGAGCACGCATGAGGGGAATAGTAGTGGGGATCGAAAAACGGGCGAAAAACAGGGGAAGCGAGCCTCGAGGGAAAAGTTATGGCACCGCTGCATCCGACGAACAGTAACAGTTCTAAGTACAGTATCAGCTTCACGCATTCTATCAGCCGCTTGCAGACGCTACTCTTTCTCGTCGACTTCGAATCCGATGGAATTTCCCCACTGCAAATTGATCCTTCCTCCGCGCCTACGAGCTTATCTGATCGAAGTAAAATAATTTCATTTCAGTTGACTAAACGATTAACGGGTATTTATTCTAAACTCTGAGAAAAAATTTGGCACAATCATTTTAAATCTCTCCTTGAACCATGTTCTTTTAGCTAAAAAAGTTAATAAAAAATAATCACGCTTCGTGGTCCATCTTGTATAATCCGTAAATTTTACTTTATACTTTTTGAAATAATCAGGTTTTAATGAACCAAAATGCATTGTCCTAAAATATTTATAATCTACCTCGTGTTTATTAATCTCTTTTCTCATTATATATAAATATAATACATTTTGAAATTATGTCTTAATTAACTAAATAGAATTGTCTTGTACGATTAATAAATATCTATTGTAAGATATTTTTAGTATACGTAACATTCATTAATTATTTTCTTTAGTATATATAATATGTTATATTTTATACTTTTTGATTGATCGTTCTTTTTGATGGTATATTAATTCACTTGTGTATGATGGAATACAGAGGCAAAATTTCAAATTACTTTCCACGGAAACATGTCAAATATGAGAACAAAAGAAATGAACCTACCGTTACTCGTGCTCCAATGGTCCTTCATGATGAACGTTCAGCTATAAACTAACCGCAGCGGAGGAAACAACATTAAGTGGTAAACGCAAAAGTATGAATTAACCTCGACCTGACAAAGTTTAAAGTAAATATAAGTAAAAAGCTCGTCATACGTGATAAAACCAGCTTCTCCTACCACCACGTATTCGTCGCTATGAGGAAGATGTCTACGGGTCAAGCTGTATCTCTTCTCGGGGTCATGTTATTTTAAACTCGTGCCCAACAATGAAAACCGTTTTGTGGAACGCATTTCCTTATATTTTGCTTCACGTCGATGAAAAATTTACAACTATGCTAAATAAAAAGATATGTACTTTTTAAATATAATGACTTTATGTGGGTTGATATTTTATATTTCATTTTTTTGATATGCGTTATCATGTAATATGTTGTCATATATGATGTCAATGAAAATTCCAGGAATTTATTAATAAATAATTACGTGTATTTCGTTTTTTTTTTCAGTCTTCCGTCAAATGGATGGAATATCCAGAACTATATCAGACATAAATTCTTAGAATACAATAAATTCATGTTTATATTTAAATTTTTTTATCTTGATTGGTTATACATGTATGGTAGATTTCATTTAATTGGGATACATTAGGATTGGGTAACCCTCCTCCTATGACACGATAGATAGGTTCCTAGAAAATGCTGTGTTGCGTGAAGCCATGTTATATGAGACCCAGAGCCAGTACAAAAAGAGGAGTTACATTCCGAAAACCTATTAAAACCAAACATTTCTCTAGTCAATCTAATATGTCGTCACTGGACGCAGACTGCCGACCAGCCGCTGAAGACATTTTGCCTCCAGACTATGGAAATAAGGACCTTCCGTTCACGGTCCTTCAGCTGCGATGACACTTCACAACAGATCGATACAATACGACGATGTCGTATTGCACTTTATACTTTTAGATACTGCGGGACTTTCCGCAACACTGTATCATTGAGACGGCAAGTCTCATCTCATATCCAAATATAGTTATAAATAAATAAATTATAGTTTATTTATATTTTTTTCATGGAAAGGCACTATAGTTCATTATTTCTTCCCGTTATTATTTTAAGGTAATTTAGTTTTTAAATATGTTAAATAAAAATCATGCGTCCAGTGCTGTAGGAGTACAGTGTTGTACAAAGATTTTCGCAATTTTCTTATCGATTATACAAATTATGTTAGAGCGAAACTGAGTTATAGGATGCTGTGTTGTAAGAGGGCTACCTATACTGCGAAATGTATTTAATTCGAATATATGTTTAAACATGGAAGTAAAACTAAACAAAAAAATAAGATAGACAGATATAAGTAAAGATAGATTAAAAAGTGGGTGTCAGGTTTTTTTATTCT